AAATTTGGCTTTCCTTCGGAACTTCTGTCCGGACAGCAATCTACCTCAAGGACCGCAGCATCTCCGTCAGAGTAGATGAAACCATGTGTTATGGACGACAACAGGCGAGTATGGTCGAGATTAGAGAGTGAACACGCACACCGGAAGAATACACGTTACTGGTCTATTAATATCGGTACACGGGCTGAAAAATAAAAAGAACGACGTGAGTAACGACATACGGAAACAGAACGAATAACAAATACGACATTCGCCCCGGCCGAGAGAAGGAAATTCGCTAAAGATTATTAATGATTTGTTTGGGAGAAAAAGGGAAATAGCAGAAGGTAACTAAGCTTCTGTGTTTCTTAGACTGTAAGGTCACGTTATTTGTTGTTGTAATATTTCTGATGCAGTGTCAGGTACAGGTGTCGGGGCTGGGGAGGTGTCAAAAATCTCACGATTAAGTGAATTGTCTATCGATCTTGGAGGACAAGAAGTTTCTAACTGTGTGTGTTACACTGTCTGTCAGGTCACAAGTTTGTGGTCTCGAGATGAGTAGATCACCCGATGGGGCCAAGCGTCGAATGGAAACGTTTTCTTCCCTGCCGTCGGGCATTTTCACGAGAGCATAGTGTGGATTACAGCTAATGAGATCAACTACGTCTACTAAGTTGTCGTACTTCGAAGTTCAATCCATTCATTTGAGCAGCACCGGGCCTGGAGTTGTCAACCACGTCGGTATGGAGGAGCCGTTGGCTGAACGCCGGGGGAAAGAGAACAATCGTTCGTGAGGTTTATTGTTGGTGGTGACGCAAAGCACTGAGCGAATAGAGTGTAACGCATCTGAGAGGATTGTTTCCCATTGAGAGGTCGACAGACCCCTGGCCCTCAGTACTAGAGATATAGCTTTCCATAGCGTACTGTTTAAGCGCTCCACTTGACCGTTAGCTTGCGGATTGTAAGCAGTTGTGTGACTAGTTGCTACACCTTTGTTACGCAGAAACCAAACGGGTTTTGTAGACATAAAAGTTGGACAGCGATCCTAATGGTAGCCGACCGCGAAGGGGTCGGCCAAGATACCACTTCTAATCCAATCGGATTTTTAGACCGGCAATATTTAAGCTATTGCTACATCAGTGCTCAAAGGCTCCTCAGCAAATTTCCAGAGCTGAATTTTCGTTTCATATCAGGTCAGTGGGATATTATTGCTGTTACAGAAACGCGGCTTGCAGCTGATATTCCGGACTCCGAATTGTCCTTACCAGATGCGATCGTCCTACCCGTGGTGGTGTTCTTCTCTATTATCGAAAAAATCTTGATTGCGAGCCAACCCACCCCCCAGTTTCGACTCCTGACACTCTGGTTCAATACCAACAGAGTCTTGCGAACCTTACCGTCTCTCATGAACAGGATTCATGCGAAAGGCGTAAACCTATTATTATTGACGAATTACTAGTTGTGACGTAATCCTGGCATAACCACGATCATTCGTTCCATGCCTCAGACTTCATCACATAGATTGGGTTAACAAAAAATGGTGTAATAGTTGTCTGTTATACATACAATTCACTTGGATCATCCTCACCTGTACAATTTTTTGGGAGAACTGCGAATCACGCAAAAAAGCTATTTTCCTGGTACTCAAAAACGTGCAGTAGAAACAGTCGAATCTCCATTGTGCCGTACATTGCACTATTAAGGTCACGCCGTCCAAAACCAGACATATTCTATTAGAGGTGAAACCCAAGGTAGGCAGATAGGGGGTAGCTCCAGTGAAACCAGTGACCGAAACTGCACGATATATCAATTTTGCATCGTTTTGTTTCGTGGATTGTTAAGAGTTTCTGTTAGCCTCAAATTTGGTTCAGCTACTGTTCATAGTTCATAGGAAGGTATAAAAAAGCATAAAATAGGCGAAATCGTGAACACACGCATTTGGATGTACAGATTCGTCAGTATCACTGTTAGTCGTATTCAGTCATACCATCCAGTGTCTAATCATCGATTGGGCTAAATCCAATGATCCCCAGGGGTAACCGTGAGGCCTAAATGATCTGGTATATTGATCGAAATTTCCATATCAAAACATGGTTTGACCGATCTTGATCGTCAATTGATCGCATTGAAAAAGATCAAGCAGTTGTTGTCATCCACTCTCTTAGTGGCCACGTTTCGTATGAAAGGACGGGTCGAGCATGCAGCTTTGTGTTGTGGCTTATTTCACTGCGTAGCCACAAGGGTTTGCGAAGTTGTAGAAACGCCTTCTTTGCGCGAGTCGAGGCCAGGCTTGACTTAGTTTCTGATTTGCCCGTTTGTTTGGATGGTAGATCGTCGATGCAAGCTGCAATCGGCTGTTGGAACGTATGGTGATGTTGTGAAATTCCCCGCATTGTGAAGATTTGGTCAATATAGCCCTTCCGCCAGTGAAAACAACACAGTAGTGAAGCGGTTGGCTATCATAGTTCTCAAAATCTTGACTGCCACATTGATGATGCTGACACCTCTGTAGTTGGTGCAGATGGTTTTATCTATCTTTTGGGGGCTAGGGAGTAGAATCGATATTGCTCAGTCTTTTGGGAAAATTTCAGTATCCCAGACGTGGTGGAATAGTGTTAGCATTGGGTCTAGTAGAGTTGGTGAAACAACTATGGATTTCAGGTGGTATACCGTTCTCGTTCTGGTGGACTTCCTGTTTTTCGTCACCCTGATGTTAACAACGATTTCCGATCTTTTCGGTAGGTCTAGGCCGATTCCATATAGCTGTTGACGGCTTCGTACCGCTGGGTTAAGAGGAAGAGTGGTTGAGTGTGTGGCTGATACGTTCAACCCATTTCTGTTTCTCAGTTTGAGGTGGCTGCTTTTGTTTTGTCTCGGTCATTTGGAAAAATTTAACGTATTTTTCTCATCCCACCATGGGCTTCGGCACAAGCAGTCGGGTATTACTAATTTGTATCTAACCCTAAGAGGATAGCCGAGAGCAATGGGTGGGTATGTTGTACCTCTACCTTTCCAAGACATTTGATAGTGTGAGCCCCAAAATACCACTGTGGAAATTTGGGAATGGTAAAATTCGAGAGCTCCTTTTGGGTTGGACTATCGTGCACCGGTTTTGGTTGCTGTCTATTTGAATGAACATTAGGAGAAAGACAGGAAAGTCAGAATGACTCGTTGGCATGTCATAAGTTTCGACATCCCTAAAAGTACATAAAACAACGAGACTATGTGATATTACTCAGCTTTCTTTGCTTAATAAATCTAATCAGTTGTGCCATAAATCCTATGGAACAAGAAAAACGGTAGGTTGTAAACATTCCTCATGATGAAACGTTGACTTTGACAGTTCAAAGTTGCTAATTGTACCAAGGGAATACCGAACTGAAACGGCTCCACTTTCTCATGTTTGCTGATAATGGTTCATTGATCGTAACGTCTTGTGTTACCATTTTTTTATCCCAGATAGGGAACAACTCTTTTTAGTGGCAACATTATTTACTAGTAACCTCATTATTGGTCATATCGTAGCGTTCGAGGGCGAACAGTGAAACGAATCGCACCCCGCTCCATTGCGGGTCAGGCTTTGGCTAACTGAGGACTCCGGTTGTAAATTCCCTAAGAAAATTCACCTGCTTTGGCCTGGGTAACCTGGCTGTATCGAGCAAATCCTGCGTTTTTTTCCTTTTTATAAAGAGTATTGTACCGTGATCTGTTTGGCCCACAGTCTGGACTCTTTTCGTTTTGTTTTCATTTTTATTTCCTTTTTATTGAATACACAATGATACAATTTTCTGGAAGGGTCAAACGGCTAATCCAAGGGCTGCCATTCAACACAACGGAGAAAGTCTGGCGGTGATGGTGGGATTCGAACACTCGTCCTCCAGGGTGATAATTTGGTGACGTTACCACCGGGTCACCACCGCCCACTCAGACGTGTGTGAACGTAAGACGATAAATAACAGCAAGATGTGAATCGTGCATGTGTTGTTCATCAAAGGGGGTGAATTTTTAAGGGGGCTATGTCATTCATTTTTGCAATCTATCCGTTCAAGCTTTCAGTTGTCTGTGTCATCCAGTGAAGGGTTGCACAAAGTCTTCAACTTATTCGATGCTTTATCGTCACCGGCCTTGTTTAGACCCTATAGTCTCAGGTTCGAGCCCCGCCACCGCCACCCGACTTTGGTGGTAGGCAGCTCTGCTGTCGTCCGGTTCAATACCACGTCTAATCTATCGGGACCTTATGTAGT